ATATATATTTATACATGTGTATGTGTGTGTGTATAACTATTACGTATATATGTATATACATATCTATATTGATAATTAGGTCTATCCATTCGGATGCATCACGAGAGAGTCTAAGTGCGATACGCAACATACTCACAAGTATTGCAACTGACTTCCCCACTGAAGGTGAAGATGCACAGTCAACCACAACAGAGAAGTGCCAAATAAAAGAGCACGCAAACAAGATAGCACCCAACAACCGCATCATACACACCATACAGCTGCCGTTTCACCATACCTGTGATTTCACGCGAGAAATGGACCGTATCCAAAGTTTGCTACCCTCGGAAATGGGATTTATCTGTACCAAGAAAGGCGCGATTAAATTAAAGGGAGTGTGGGTTAACTGACAGCCACGTCTTGGACATAAACCGAGAAGGTCGCCGTGCAGCTGATGAATTTTTCCATCGGACTTCATCCGATCAAAACGTACGCACATCTAGATGCGTATGCGTATGTATATAAATAGATGAGATACAGAACAAAGTGCGGTACACGGGAGCCGAGGTGTATGTACTGAATCCTTCCAAATACATTTATAGTATAAGAACTGGCTTGGCACATGTTCGTTCACATTTATGTCTAATACAATTGTATGCATATTTCTACCTATAGGTTGTGAGCTGTACATTGTATAGTTTGCGGCAGTTCCAAATACACCCCCATTTTCGCCCCCATCATTTTCCCCTTGGCCTTTCTATTCTCGAGCCAAACGAGAACTTCGCCAACATCTGTCCGAAACAGTACGCATCTCATGCCGCCAATATCTTTGCGCAGGCCTACCTACCTACCTATCCGACCCTCTGCAGAATTCATTGGACGCACCGTATACGATCTAAACCAGAGCCACATACTCGCACTCACACTCGCACACGCACGAATATATCTCACCACAACCACACACCTCCGACTCGGCACTCTTGTTTTTGTAATCCCCGAACAAAGCCGGGACGATCGACACCAGAAAATTCCAGGGCAACTCCAGGAAGCCTATGAGTACACACCAACCCCACAGGTGCAAGGGCAGGGGGGTGCAGCTGAACACATAGCCGCCAAACTGTACTATCAGCACCTGCACAATGGCCTGGAAGACGATGATCCCCAGGAACAACGGGTTGCGCAGAACGCCCTGGGGGTGGGGTGGGGTGGGGTGGAATGGGGTGTAGTGTGTGCGTGAGCCGAGGTAGAGATAGGAGTGTGTGTACTCAAAGGTATACATTGGTGTGTGTGCACTCAGAGATATAGAGTGGTGTGTGTGTGTATCGATTGGAATGTGTTTACGCAGTGGTTTCGATTGGTGTGTATGTACATAGAGGTATCGACTAGTGTGTGTGTACGCAGACTTGTAGACTCGTGTGTGTGTGGTGTATAAATGGGTGCCCGTGTTTCCCAGGTGTGTGTACGCAGAGTTATAGACTCGTGTGTGTGTGGTGTATGAATGGGTGCCCGTGTTTCCCAGGTGTGTGTACGGCTACAGACAGTGCATTGGCTATGCAGTCCGATCACGTGCACAGTGGTCTGATAGGAGACTATGAATACGGGGAATAGCTCAGCAGGTTATGCAGCTATCCCTGAGCGCGATGTAGTGTTTCTTACCCGTCGATAAGTGTCTGTTTTCATGCATGCAGTGGTACAAAAGTGTGTGTATACGGCTGCAGATGTGTGTGTGTGTGTGTGTGATTGTACGTATATGGGCAGAGATGTGTGTGTGTGTACGTATATGGGCAGATGTGTGCGTGTGTGTGTGTGATTGTGTGTACGTATATGGGCAGATGTGTGTGTGTGTGTGTGAGTGTGTACGTATATGAGCAGATGTGTGTGTGTGTGTGTATGTGTGTATACATATATGGGTGTGCAACCGAGCACATTCACATCACTTGAACCAACAACAAAAGCCCACTACTACAACACATAGTGGCGCCGTGGTGCACACTACACCAATGCGTTACTACACCAATGCGTATCAAAGCCATACCTCGAACACATTCACTTCGCCGTGGATTTTGCGAGCGTTCAACTCGTTAAACAACTGGCACATGACAAACACGTTGAAGACCATCGTGTAGTGCAGCGACGGCTCTTTCTCTGCATTGCTGCCGCTCTCAAACCCGTTCATTTGTGCCGCAGGAGGGAAGCCAAAGATCTGAGATGTATTGTGTGTCGATTATACTGCCGCTGGTATGGATATATAACTCGAGATGCATAGAGATGTATACTGTTCGGGTATATATTATATTATATATATATATACATATACATATACATATACATATACATATACACATACATATACATATACATATACATATACATATACTATATACATATACATATACA